AGGCGTTGGGGAGGCAGTCAGGAGACTGGATGGACAGCTGGTGCTGGGAAGTGCTGTGGGTCTCTGAAGCAGTGGTTCTCACCTGGGTACAGCCTGCTAGTGCTTGGCTGGGGTGGGTGGGTGGGGGAGGGACTGGGACACTGTCCCATGCACTGTGGAATGTTTATCAGTTTCCTGAGCCCTTCAGACTGGATGCCAGTAGCACCTGTTCCAGCTGTGACCATCAAAAATCTCTTTAAACTTTGCCGGATGTCTTAGGGGGAGGAGGCACACGCACCCCTGTTGAGAACCATTGGCCCGGAGCCATTGCTAGTAGCCTGGGCCATGAGCGCAATCTCCTGGAAAGAAAGAGCAAGCAGAGCGGCTGCTGTTGCACCTTTCTGTAACCGCAAAGTAAGCAAAGATGCCAAGGGGCTGGCACTGTGGTGTAGCGGGTAAACCTGCCGCCTGGGGCACCAGCATCCCATATGAACTCAGTTGCTCCACTTCTGATCCAGCTCCCTGCTAATGGGCCCTGGAAAGCAGTGGAAGATGGCCCAAGTGCTTGGGCCCCTGCACTCAATGTGGGAGACCGGGAAGAAGCTCCTGGCTTCTAGCTTCTGACTGACAGCTGTGGCCGCTGTAGTCATTTGGAGAGTGAACTAGTGGATGGATCTCTGTCTCCCTCTGTCATTCTGCCTTTTGAATAAGTAAATTCTAAAAGAAAGAAAGATGCCAGGGGACTGGGGGAAAATTCTCCTGTCCTTGGAGGGGGTCCCCTAACTGGGATGCTGTTTGTTCTTTAAGGTTCTCCGTTTGGAAGGGAAGAGATGGTATGATGATGGGGGAGTGTGGCAGAAGGCAGCATCTTAGCAGGGAAGGAAGGAAATGATACAAATCTTTCTAGCTGATCTGAGGCACAACAGAAGGAAACTAAATCTTTTTTTAATTAGCATGAACAGCATGGCCTAAGTGAAATATTGTCACTAGCTCGCTGGCTTGCTTAGGACTTGCTGCCAAGAGCGGGGAGATAAAGTACAAAGGCTTGGGTGCTCAGTGGTGGGAACCCAGAATGTTGCATCAGCCCTAGGAAGGCTTTGCCACCCAGCTGATGATAGAGAGAGCCCAAAGGGTGAGTGTTCAGTGCTAAGTGCATAAGAATAAGGTTAGAATTAGCTCAGAAAGGAAAGTTTGGGGTTGTGAATAAAATAATGTAGTGGTTGTCTTGGTTTGGGGTTAGGGAGGAGTACAGTAAGCAGCAGAGGCGAGTGGGGAATTGAGGGAGGAGGAAAAGAACGAAATAACAGGGTGTGTATGTGTGTGTGTGCACGCATGCATGTGTGCATTTTAAAGACATTGCCATCATGGACACTGGTGCATAATCCCTCTGGGAGCTGCAGGGAGACACAGCAGAACACAAGCCTCAGACTAGGGGGTGAGACAGCTTTTTTTTTTTTTTTCTGAAGATTTATTTTTTATTTACTTGAAAGGCAGAGTGACAAAGAGAAAGGGTGGGGGGAGAGATAGAGAGACAAAGAGATCTTCCATCTGCTGATTCACTCTCAAAATGGCCACAATGGTTAGGGCTGGGCCAGGCTGAAGCCCAGGAGCACGGAGCTCCATCTGGGCGGCAAGGGCCCAAGCACTTAGGTCCTCTTCCAGTGCTTTCCCAAGCACATCAGTAGGGAGCTGGATCAGAAGTGGAGCAGCTGGGTCTCTAACTGTTGCCCACATGGGATGCTGGCATTCCGGGTGGCAGCTTAGCCTGCTATGCCACAACACTGGCTCTGTGAGCTGCTGTTTTTGTACATTAATTCTTGTGTGTCACTGGTTGAGGGCTATGTCCAGGGCCATTTGTTCCTCTGCATTTTTGCTGAGTTCTGATTTAGGCCTTAGGCAAAGAGAGGGAGAGACAGAGAGAGAACTTCCCTTTGCTAGTTCACTCCCCAAATGGCTGCAGTGGCCAAAGCTGGTTTGATCTGAAGCCAGGAGCCAGGAGCTTCTGGGTCTCCTATGTGGGTGCAGGGGCCCAAACACTGGGGCCATCTTCTATTGCGTTCCCAGGCTGTAAGCAGGGAGCTGGATCAGAAATAGACAATCCGGGACTTGAATTAGCACCCATATGGGATGCAGGCGCTGCAGGTGGAGGCTTAACCTACTACGCTACAGTGCTGGCCCCTCAGTGCTGGCAATTGAAAGCAGTTGAAGCTGGCGCCGCGGCTTACTAGGCTAATCCTCTGCCTTGCGGCGCCGGCACACCGGGTTCTAGTCCCGGTCGGGGTGCTGGATTCTGTCCCGGTTGCCCCTCTTCCAGGCCAGCTCTCTGCTGTGGCCAGGGAGTGCAGTGGAGGATGGCCCAAGTGCTTGGGCCCTGCACCCCATGGGAGACCAGGAGAAGTACCTGGCTCCTGCCATCAGATCAGCGCAGTGCGCTGGCCGCGGCAGCCATTGGAGGGTGAACCAACGGCAAAGGAAGACCTTTCTCTCTGTCTCTCTCTCTCACTGTCCACTCTGCCTGTCAAAAAAATAAATAAATAAAAATAAATAAAAAAAGAAAGCAGTTGACCCTGGCTGATGGGGTACAAGTGGGCCACTGGCAGCTTCTGCTACAGTGGTCAATTTTAAAGCTCATTTAAAGATATTTACTGCTTTGCTATTGAACAATGTTTAATGTTTAGTAGACCTTTAAAAAAATTCATCTATCCTAGAAACAGTGGGGAGGCACGCCAACCTCTGTCACCTGCAAAGATACCCTCACCTTATTTTTTGAGAACATGAAATACCGCTGCCAGAAACCCAGCAGCCACCCCAGGCCTGTTCGCCATTCCTCTTTCTTTCATCCCTTACATCCAGTGCATCAACAAGCCCTTTCATTTCTACACCCAAACACCATGGAAGTTAGATCCTTCTGTCTCTGCTGCTACCTTGCTAATTCAGGACAAGGCCCTTTTTGGCTTGGACTATTACCATAGCTTCCTGGAACACGCCTCCTTCTCATTCAACCCTGCCCCAGCCTCACTCTTCCAACCAAGAGCCCTTTCTTAACCTTTAGGTCTGGTTAAATGCCACAGCTTCATTGAAGACCTTCCTCTCTAAACAAAGATCTCCCCCCGCCCATCCACCTGTCACTTCATCTCACCCCCTGTTTACTTCTTCTCAGCATGTCCCACGGTTTGTAATGATTTTGTTATATCATCAGCCTCCCTCTCTAGAACATAGGGCAACCTCTGCAGAGACAAGGAACAAGTCTAAATCCTTGACCACTCTGTCCCTAGGATGGTTGCCAGATTTTGCAAATACAAACACAGAATGCCGAGTCAGATTTCACGGAGCCTCTTGCAGTTTAACTGGCAGTCTTAGTCCTGGGCCCTGACACATAGCTGGCTGTCACTTACCTATTACTGAATGAGAACCTGGTAGCATCATATCAGAATTACTCCTGTGGCAACAAAGTGGAGAAAACTTACAGAACTGAAGCAATGATAAACATTGCTTTTTATCATATTTCTGTTCTCATTTGCATGACTTCTCACACCAGGGGAGTCTAATTAACTCACACGCACAGCCTTGGGAGGTCCAGTATGCTGGGAAGGATGCTGACAAGAGGAAGGGAACTGTTAGGTACAGCTTTCCACACATAGTACACCTCATTTTGGCTGTGATCCAGTGTCTGGGCCTTGATCTCTGGTCCTGATCTTCCCAGACTGAGAGCTCTCAAAGGAGAGAAACTGCTTCTTTCTTTTCAACCATTCATTCCCAGTCTATCACTCTGCAGCTGAGAGTTGATTCAACCCATGGTTACTGAATGGGCTGACATAAATGAGTAGGTGCCGCTGTGATGTAGCGGGTAAAACTGCCGCCTATGACACCGCATCCCATATGGACACTGGTTTGAGTCCTGGCTGCTCCACTTCTGATCCAGCTCCCTGCTAATACACCTGGGAAAAGCAGTGGAAGATGGCTCAAGTGCTTGGGCCCCTGCCACCCACACGGGAGACCCAGAAGAAGCTTCTGGCTCCTGGATTTTGCCTGGCTGTTGTAGTCATCTGGGGAGTGAACCAACAGATGGAAGATCTCTCTTTCTGTCTCTCCTTCTCTCTAGGTAACTCTTTCAAATAAATAAATCTTTTTTTTTTTTTTTTTTTGACAGGCAGAGTGGACAGTGAGAGAGAGAGAGACAGAGAGAAAGGTCTTCCTTTGCCGTTGGTTCACCCTCCAATGGCCGCCGTGGCCGGCGCGCTGCGCCGTGCTGATCCGATGGCAGGAGCCAGGTTCTTCTCCTGGTCTCCCATGGGGTGCAGGGCCCAAGCACTTGGGCCATCCTCCACTGCACTCCCTGGCCACAGCAGAGAGCTGGCCTGGAAGAGGGGCAACCGGGACAGAATCCAGCGCCCCGACCGGGACTAGAACCCGGTGTGCCGGCGCCGCAAGGCGGAGGATTAGCCTATTGAGCCGTGGCACCAGCCTCAAATAAATAAATCTTAAAAAACAAAACAAACAAACAAAGCCAAGTGAATAGTGCAGTGATTAACTGCCCTAATTTGACCAGGACTGAAAGGTTTTCTGGGATGTGGGGCTTTCAGTGCAACGGTCAGGGCAGTCTTGGGCCAACTGGGACAGCTGGGCACCCTAAGTGACTGAATGATCCTCACTACTTGGTGGCTTTAGTCCTTGTCCAATGTCATCATTGGCTGCTATGACTACCAAGATTGGAGAAACTGCTGGCCTATCTGACAGCTGGATGTTTGGAGCTCTGTGGAGCCCCTGAATTTCCCCATGCTTGGACTGACTCCTAGGAGTTTGGCTGTGGCTTCAGCCTCAGCTCAGGTCCGGAATGCTCAGCCTAGCCTTCCTTCTAGCCTGGTATTGTGGTCTCTGCTAGATGTCTGGACTTTGCTCCTAGAATGAAGGCCCTTAGAATAAATACGTGGTAAGGGACCTTGGCCTTGGCCCAGTCTCAAGGGCTTACCTGGCCTGCCAGGCCACCTGTCTCATCAAGACTTGATTTTGATCAATTGCCATTGCCACAGAACACCAGCATGTATTTATTCAGTAAGTAAGCTAACGACCCATAGAACTTTCCAAATACATTTCCACAAATGTTCTGAGTTACTTGACCATGAAAAGTGAGTTCTCATTTTAACCAACTCCCTCCCCTAAAAACTGCCAGAGGGCATGAGATTCTCAAGGAAACTGCACAAATCCACTCCCAATTATGGTAGCAACACTCCAGCCTCAATTCAGTCCTGCCGGGTCCCTGGCATTCGGAGTAAAGCGGCTCTTGAGAGGCGCCCAGCACTTGTAGTAGTTCTCGTCCAAACAGTTGGAGGCCTTGAGTCCCCACTTGGTGACAGCCAGACTTAGAGAAGACTCGAACATAAATGCCTGCAGGAAATGAGGATGGGGATGAGAAGATAAAAGTGAGGTTGGTTTTAGAAAGCACATTTGATTAAATGTCAGGAGAAGATGCAGGTTGGCAAAGTCTTTGAAAAATGAACCATGTGCTAGCATGGTGAAGAGAGCAGGCTTGAGCCCTAGGTTCTGGCTCCGGTCCTGCCACTTACGTGCTGGTGAGGTGTTGTGTAAGACTCTTAACCTCCCAGGGCCTCACGTTTCATCCTGGGCATGAAGTTGGGCACTGAAGCCTCGAGTCGTCCTTGTAGCGTTATGGAGCTGACTTTGCTAGATGCCAGGGCAGAAGTGGGGGAACCCTGGGAATATTCCTCTTCTCAGGAGCCGTCCTTTACTGTGGCCATGTCCCTGTGAGGGAAGGCATACTGCCCATTTTGCAAATAAAGAAACTAAGGCTCAGAGCTGGCAAATGACTTGTCTAAGGTGTGATTTGAGCCAGCTTTTCAGATTCAGACTGAGATGGACAGTGAAAAGGAAAAGGAGGAACAGGGGGAGTGGGAAGGAAATGGTAGAAATGGCTGCAGCACTTTAAAAAGCCGCGTCCCAGAAAGGTCTGAATGGTGGATGTTGCACTGGCTTCAGGAGGTTTTAGTCTGCGACAGAATGAATACTCAAATGTTCCAAGGATCTTAGACATTACAGCTCTATCAGGTGCTGAGTTTTCTACCTACTGTGGCTTTCAAAGAAACAAAGCGAAAGCAAAAACCAATATGCTACAATGCTTATATGCTCACATTTGGAATTTTTAAAATGTAGACAGAAAAAGAAATCAGAGAATTCTATTGTGCTACAACTCAGAACACTCACATGAGTGTTTAGGAGGTCTAACAAATATTAATTCATTTTTGTCTGAAACAATGAAGGTGAGCATCCCTGCCAGACTTCCTAAGACTGGAAGAAAGATGTAAAGACAGGGTGAGATTATATAGAAGTGATCATATTGAGCATAGAAATGCTGTATATGTTATAAATCACTGTTAAGATATAAAGGCCATTATTATGATTGTCTCCTGGCTGATTGCTACTTAGGGAACCTCACTATCTAGCTGCAATACCAAAAGCCCCTTCTTAGCTGAGCTGTGACTTGTATCAAGTTAATCATTCCAAACTAGAATAAGGATAAGGCAGGTAGATGGACCTGGGTATGAATTATATAAGACCCAAAGTTAGGTCTAGGGAAAGTGTTGGAACCTCCCTCACCAGATATTCTGGGTTTCCAGATACCCAGAGTGTCCCATTCTCCTAATCTCTGCAGAGGGAAGCCCCTTCTCGCTAGCTTTTCAGGCCCTAGACATTACCCAAAGTCTTGCTCCTCATACAAACAGTGCTGTTCTGTGCCTCCATGTTGAAGATCACTGTTGCCTGGGTCTCCAATTTGAGTCACCAAAGGTTATTGAGTGGCAACTCTAGGGTAGCCTGTGCTCCTCTGGAAGTCTTTGGAGGCAACACCTTAACTGAGCTTGTCAAACTACACCTCGTAGAGATGCAAGGGTTCTATGTAAAGTCTGCAGAAGTCCTTGCAAAGGGGACTAGAGCTGACGTTGAGCAGATGGGAAGGATTCTGTGCCCCCCTCTCATTCAGAGCAGCTTCCCAGTTCTGAACCCAAGCTGGAGCTAAAAGCAACTGTATTGGACAGATGGACAGATAATGCTCGCTGCTTAGGTATTTTCCAAGTTGGGCATGGAGTCACACAGGTCTGTCCTAAAGATTTTAAACCATATAGCACGGAAAGCATTTGTTTAAAAATGTAAACCAAATTTGCATATGATTTAGCATAAAATTACTCCTTGTGGTCCATAAACTCTACCACCAAGAATGCAAAAATAAAATAAAATCAAGTACCGCAGCCAACAGCAATTGTGTTCAGCCTCAGTGTTTACAGCATGACACAGAAGGAATACAAAACAGGTTTGAAATCCCATCAGTTTCATACCATGCCAAAGTAGAGCAAAGGAAAATGATAAAGCAGCTGAGAATTGCTGCTCACAAGCCCTGACTATAGTGAGGCCAAGATATCCTGACCCTCCTTGGCTTGGGAAACAGCTGATGGTGACATCCTGCCTCCTCTGCTATTGTGGCCCTAGCAGATTACTTCCCAAAGCAGAATACTCTGAGAAAGGCCATCTGGATAGGGCTGCCTGTGGATTTAGGAAGGCCCTTCCCACAGTGTTCATAATGGTCCCTGACATCTGAACAGTGTTGTCTACAAGGCTAACTCACGGTCATCTGCAGGGTTGGGTACCACACCCATTTCATAGACATGGAGAATGAAGCATAGAGAAGTTGGTGGTTCAAGGTCACTTAGGAACTAGGAACTAAGATGAGAATCCAGGTCTGACTCCAAGTTCAAAGCTCTTCCTTCACCACTGAACCAGGAGTCGAGTAGGTACACAAGGCTGTGTATATACACACATGTAAACACACGCATACAGACACACAATTATCCTCCCCTGGCTCCCTCTCTGTGACTTTGGAGAAGTAAAATGAACCATTCCTCTGAACAAGGTCATCAGAGACTGGTGGTTAAGTCGCTTACCATGGTGCCGTCAGCAACCCTCTCCGGTGCCAGCTTGACCTTGCTGGCCTTCTCGAAGCAGTCTGCATCAGGGCCGTGAGGGGTCATGGTACTGTGCAGGCTGCCTCCACCCGGCAGGAACCCGCCTTGCTTTGCCTCATAGTGACCTTTGATGAGCCCCATGAATTCACTCATGCAGTTCCCTGGGAAAGTGGAAGCAGTATTATTTTTCCCAGCTGAGGCAAGACCAGTACATTTATCAAAACCCCTCACACATTGCCAAGAAGACAGGAGAATCTGATACATTTTTTGAGATTAATAGAGAATATGGATCAACAGAAGAACAATCAATAAGCATTCATTAGTGTAGAATTCTTGGTAGGTAAAGCTCAGCTTGATGGCCAGGTGGATTATGAGAGGTCTTGAGTTCCACTGTCCAAAAGGAATTAGGATATATTGAAAGAAAATCAGGGCCCAGACAAGACATAATAACTGAAATGCAAATCATAATAAGGAGTGGATGTACTCCATCATCTAAATTTGTAAGTGTCATATCAAAGTTATTTTCTCTCCCACATCAAAACCCCTTTCCAAATAGCTCCAGTCTAGTATGTCGCATCACCATATTTTGACTTTCCAATCTAGAAAGCTGCAATGGTGTGTGTGTGTGTGTGATAATGGAAGATGATGTCATGGGAAGAATCCTGGACTTAAAGTCTGTTATCAAATAATAATCTTTGGAAAAGAATATTGTTGGGGCCAGCACTGTGGTGTAGTAGGCTAAGCCTCTGCCTGTAGTGCCAGCATCCAATATGGATGCTGATTCAAGTCCTAGCTGCTCTGCTTCTGATCCAACTTCTTGTTAACGTGCCTGGGAAAGCAGCAGAAGATGGCCCAAGTGCTTGGACCCCTGCACTCACTTGGAAGACCTGGAAGAAGCTCCTGACTCCTGGCTTCGGATTGGCCCAGTACCAGCCATTGCAGCTATTTGTTAGTGAAGCAGTGGATGGAAGACCTCTGTCTCTCTCTCTGTCTCTCTCTTTCTCTCTGTTTCTCCCTCTCTCTGTAACTGCCTCTTGAATAAATTTTCTTTTAAAAATATTGTTATCTGAGAAACACAAACCATAAATGCTACTTATAATAAATATTGTCTAATCTGAATCTTACATAATCTCATTCTTCTCTCATCAAAATGCCTCTAAGTTTCCTTCTTTTCTTTCTATTTAGAAAATCAAACTTACAAAGAATAGTTGCACTTTCAGAGCAAGGATAAAGAAATATAACACTTGTGTATGTTTAAGTGCCTTTCCACCTCTTCAGAATGCTTCTAAGATTCATTTGTTTCTTCCTATTTCCATTGACACTCTATTCATATACTCCTGAATCTTAAGATGGGAAGGAGCCCCACTTCTAGTCAATACAGAAGAATTCTTTGTCATTCCTGACATAGTACTTCCTGGGCTCTGGCTGCATGCTTTGTACAATGAAAACTCTCTCTAAAACAACCTATCATATTACTTAAGAGCTCTGGTTGTTAGTTCTTTCTTCAATAGAAAATTTCCTTCATGTAATTTAAATTCATTGGTTCTAGTCGTGCTTTCTGGAGTCACACAAAATTTGACAAAAATCACCATTCTTTAACTCTTCCAATCTGATGTTTCTTGTGAAATAAAGCTCTTTATTATAGTAGAAGCACATTTAGAACAAGAATTGAAGAAATATAACACCTTTCCATCTTCCTCTGCTCATCCACCTATCTATCCATTCACCTGTCCTTTTCTCACACCACCATCTGCCCATCCATCCACTTCATATATTTGATTGGATACTGTACTCAGCACTGTGATACAGAGATGAATAAGAAACAGCTTGCTTACAGCTGCTCATAAACTGTCTTGTAAGAGGGCCGAGCCTGCTAACCATGGATGGAATAAACAGCTACAGCAGTAGCAACCTTGCAAAGCCAAACACTTGAGTTGATCAATGTTCTGCCCTTCTTTCTAATGTATAAAGTATAACCACATGCCCAAACACCTCTGTGATCGAATAAGCAGCCCCACCTACCCTGCCCAGAAAACACAGAGCTGCTACAAGCCCCGACAGAGTGAGCAGAATGTGATAGATCCTGCAGAAAAGGTAAAGCCCAGATCAGAGCTATACTTGTTTTTCCATGAAGCAGATATAGAGGAAAGGCAGCAAATGGAAGCCTAAACTCTATTTTGCAAGCAGTTCTGCTCATGACTCAAATTTCCTGTCATGCTCTTCACTCTAGTGTATGTCCTCGGGGTCACCTTCTGAGTTTAATTTTGAGAAGACAGCAAGACAGAATTCAGCTTTGATCTGAATATGAATTTGGGAAGCAATGAGTTTAGTGATGACATTTCTACATCACTTTCTATATTTCAAAGGATAGTGGGAGGGTAGACCTTGCCTGTATGATTAAAGCTGAATCTAGTTGACTAAGGCGCATTAAGATGAGTGCAGGCAGTATTTCTACAGAAATAATTCCCCACCTCTTCCTTAAGTTGCATCAACGTAGCAAAGATTTTGAGTGTTGCCAAAGCCATATTTTTTTATAGTCCTGGTAGAACTAATTTCTCACTAGGGGCTCTGTGGTTTTCTCCAACTGTCTGAGGGCAACCATGCCTTTATGAGATCTATACTGGGGCCAAGTTTACTTTGAGACCATTAAAAAAATTGTAGGGGGGCATTTCACAAGGCAATTTTCTTTAGGAAGTCAGAACCACAAGTTAAAATTAAGGAGTGGGCTGAGAGCCTATAGCACAGTAGCAAGATTTTCCAAATCAGACTACTGTATCACCCCTTTACCTGGGTGGGGAGATGGACCCTTCCTTGGCCAATGTTTCTCAAGATGAGAGCATCAGAATCCCTTGAGCTGTTAGCTAAAAACGTAGATTCTGAGGTTCCACCACAAAACCAACTAAACTTTCTGGGAGTCGGCTTTAGGAATACATTTCTTAAAGAAGGCATTCTAAGTGGTTTTATATCCTCTACTATTGTCAGAGGCTCTGGAGCAGTAGCATCGGCATTACTTGGGAACTGGTTAACAGTGCAAATTCTTAGGCTCTTCCCTGGATCTATAGAGGCAGAAACTTCGAGGGTGGGGTCCAATAATTGATGCTTTAACAAGCCCTTCAGGTGACTCTGACACCTGCTAAAATTTAAGGACCACTACCCTGGGAGCACAGAAAGCACAGAATCACCTCAATAGGCTGGCAAAGTGCAATAGTGAATTAGCCAGGAAGAGGCTGTGAGTCACAGGCTGTAAGCCAGAGCAATTCTCTCTCCTTGACAACAGGCCCTCGAGGGCACTAACTTCCAGGAGGAGAATAGTTAGGGACTTTAAATGGGCTTGATACTCTTCAGAAAAGACACAGGTCACTATGACTGCATTTACAAAGCAGCTGGTGTCTTTGCAGTGTAATTAATTGCTTCGTTTCTCCTCCATGATGGTGAAGAGGGAGATGCTGGCTTTTGACCATGAAGTGGCCTTCTTATATTCTGAGGGCCTTTGTTCCCCACTTCTGTGCCTAATACTGTCCAGCAGAGATACTGTTACATACTGTTGAGTCCTAGTGCCTGGGAGCTGACAATATACAAGGAGCAACATTATATAAACAAGATCCTGGGGCTAACTCAGGAAAATAGCTTCTTTTCTAGAATATTCCAGGTGAAAAGCCCTGTAATCAATTTTTATTTTATTTTATTTTAGAGACAGGGAGAGAGACACAAAGAAATCTCCCTTTCTCTGGTTCACTCCTCAAATGTCTACAACAGCTGGGGCTAGGCCAGGCCAAAGCCAGGAACTGGAAACTCCATCAAGGTCTCCCATGTGAGTGGCAGGAACCCAATTACTTGAGCTATCACCTCCTAGGGAGTGCATTCATAGGAGGAAATGCATCTTAGTCTTTCTGGAGCTCTGTGTACAAATAATGTAATTTCCAGGAAGTAGAATTGTATATTGATGTTTTTAGGTTTGATTTTCAGCTGGCTAGTGCACAGTTAAAAATGTCAACCTCATTAAAAATAGCCATAAAGTCTACTGTGATGTATTATTATTAAATAAATATTTATTAGGCGCATATTATATATCAGGCATTATGCTAGCCATATCAGTTCATGGTCATGTTCTCCGGCATCAGACAGCTTGCAATTAAATCCTGACTCTACCACTTAATTAGCTGTGAAGCCTTGAGAGTCTTATTTAATCCCTCTTGTGTCAGTTTCATCTTCTGAAAACAAAATGAGGGCTAATGATATTACCTTTCTCTTACAGCTGTTATAAGAATTAAATAAAGAACTCATAACAGGGCCATACAAACTGGCCAATAATTGTTAGCTATTAGTAACAATACTGTTAATACAACAAAAATGGTAGATTTGTTAGGTTTTGTTCTAAGAAACGAATCCTCTGCAGAAACTCCTTCCAGGACAGACAGAGTCCAGCCCCTTGTGTAGACTGCCATCTGCTTTGTTTGGCCAAAATGATTTGAGAAGGCACATTTCACAGGCTCTTGAACCAGGTACAGGTAATGAACTTTCCAACTCCAACAAACAGACAGGATCTCCATCATTCCCCAGGCCCCAACACAGATGACCGAAACATAAAGAAACATCTTGTTTCACCTTTTGTCAGTCTTCAGGGCTACAGAAACTAAGACCCAGGTTCAGGGTCATCGTATCACTGCCATCCCTGCCCAGGTGGTGGCATTTAAACAGTTTAAAGTCTGGGAGCACAGCACTGGGCCTGGGGAGGCAGGGTACTAAACTCAAGCCGGGGCAGGTGTACAGAAACAACCCAGGAATTATTCCCAGTGGGGAGTGCTCACTGCTTGGCTTCTGTTGGATCTCCAAATGTGGTTCGGTAAAAGAGATTCGATGATTGTTTACAGCCCTTGTCTCTTCTGTTGAGGAACAGTGCTTTTTTTCTTCATACTATTTGTTAAACGCTTTTACTTAGTGTAAGGTTAACTTTATGATAAAAAAGTAAGCTGAAAGTAGATCTTTGTAAAAATTAACAGTGGAAATGGGAGAAGGAAGACATACGTGGGTGGGAGGGATGGTGGGGCGAGGTATCACTATGTTCCTAAATCTGTATATATGATTGTATACCTTAAATAACACTTAAAAAAATAAAAAAGGAGAGACTTACTGTGGTAATAAGGAGGCCTGAAGGTCTTATCAGCAACCCCCCACCGAGGCGGGAAGATGACAAAGTCAGCAATGGCCACTCCGGGCCGGACAGACTTGGCAGTCAACACTGTGAAAATGGACGGGTCCTGAGAATGCACAAGGAGAGGCTGAACTCATGCAAGGGAAGTGACTGGACACTGACTGACACAGCCACCATACATGGAGGTGTTTTCAAGCAACAGCCTAATTTCTGATCAAACAACATAGGGCAAGCCAAATAGTCTGGGCTTGTTGTTGAAGTGCAATAGACATTCATCAGACTTTCCTGTCTTGCTGTGCTTGAAGCAAAATGAATTAATACCAGCTATGAGAATTCCGAGTTGCTCTTTCACCCTGCTGAGCCTACATCACATCCAACCTACTACTCCATGAATCTGAAAACAAGTGGTGCCTGCCTCCCAACCTCAAGTCAGGGTGAGCACTGGTGGGATGTGCAGTGCAGAGTTCCTGGAACGAGGGAGGTTCAGAGTAAGGTGGAACTAGAAATGAGCACTATTTAAGTTTTGTTGTAGATGTAGGTTTGTTGTTTTCTTGCCTTTGTTGCTCAGGTCTAAAAGACACAATTTAGATCATTAGCCTTGGTGGTAGCAACAAGAGGCGAATAAGTTGAAGGACAATATTATGTTTTCAAAGAACTTCTGGATCCTTCAGCGGAAAGACCAAGATTCAATTTATTTGAAATCAACAACAATCATCTTCATTTTTGATGCACCATGCCAGGGTCTGGTATTCAAAGATAATTGGGGAGGAGAAGGGTAGCCACTCCTACTTGAAAGGATCAGAAAATCCCTCGAAGAAAGAATGACATTGGAGCCGGCCTTGGAGAATGAATGAAAGAAAGACAGAGGGCAGGAAAGGGGGAGATAGAGAGCAGAGATGCTGGGAGGGAGGGAGAGAGAGGGAAGGCATTTTATCTCAGAAAACAGAAAATACATCAAACCACAGAGCGATTTTGTTAAGGGAAGAGAAGGCTAAAACCCAAGGATTCAGCTCAGACTGAATCCTACACCACGGGGGCCTTCAAAGGTTCTCTAATGCAGTGATGGAAAAATCAGAACTGAGTTTTGAGAAAATAACCATAGATCAGTACAGAGAATACTGAACCTGTGCAAATTCGATTTTAAAAAATCCAATCCTTATTGCTGTGAGTTCACATTTCTTCATCTGTCATGGGAAATGGTCTGCAACGATCAGAGTGAAGGTAGGAGGCTCACATCAAGCTTTATCAGTGTCTCAGGATTCTTTTTCATGCTGTTTGGTTTTATTAAGAGTTGCTGTTGTTCAGAAAGGTAGCCTGGTCCCCACCAGAGATAAGCTGAACTGGCTCAGAGTAATCCTTCTGTCTCTGGCTCTCTGGCTTCTGCTCTAATTATCTCTCTAGTGTGTGCGTTAAGTTCATCTATTACGAACTAGGCTGCAAAATGAACTTTCCCCCAGGATCTCAAAACCAGCACTTTATCAACAAAGTGGGGCCATGGGGGCCTGCACGTAGACCAGGGACCTATTTGTGGCCCCCTAATTGGCTGAAAAAATATGGCCAAGTTCATACATTAGAATGTCTTTGGTTTAAATCAAGCAAGGAGCATTGTGAGCAACTTCAGAAGGGGACTGTCTGCTCCATCACTGCCCCAAACAGCCAGGGATGGAGGCACCAGGGTGGGCAGTCGGACAAGTAGGGCAGACCCTTGAGATTTGTGAGAAGGACTGAGACTTCTCCAAATCCAGAAATGTTCTTTTCTCCTTACCCCATCACTGATGTCAGCAGTTGTTTTTTTTTTTTTTTTTTTTAATTAGTTTCCCCCCAGAATACTAAGTTTTCACTCATCTATGAGGGTTACGGTAAAAACTCTGTTGAGTACTAAGCTGTGTTCATGGGTGAGGGTTGTGTATCTGGCCTGGCTTCCTTACTAGCTATGTTATTTAATCCTTTACCAAAGGACAATCTCTCTCTCTCTCTCTCTGTCTCTCTCTCTCTCTCTGTGCCTGTCTCCACACACACAGATGTACACACACACACCATCTCCAGTGTCCCTATGTGGTCCAGACTTACTGCGTGATCAAAGGCCACCGAGTTGATGACCATGAAGTTCTCCAGGTTGTACTTGTAGGGTGTATAGTTCCCATGCCAGGCCACGACATTGAATGGGGAGACATCCTAATCACAAAAAGCAGGAAAGGATGATCTTAGCACCTAACATGTCTGTAGTTGTGATCCCACAATATGTACTGGGCATAACACTCTCCCTAATTTGATTTCGTTCTCAATTTAATTATGTGCTCCTTTGGGAGAAGTGTAACTCTCATGCATTCTCGAGTTGCTTCACATACTCTGGCAGATTTCACTTAGCCACTAACCCTATTTTTCCAGTTCATAAGCTCCAGCTGCTTTCTGATCACTTGTGCAACAGAAGCATGGCACAGTCTCCAAGTAGTGTATTTCAACAGTTTTTAACTATGGGAATCTGTGGATGCCAGCAATTCTTGAAAAATCTGGGCTACCCTCTGTTTTCTGGTGCAAAGGGCACGGTGATGGTTCTCCAGGTTTTTTCAACCTAAAGGAGCTTCCAAAAGACAGTTCTTGGGTGGGTGAAGAAGGAGAGGAGAGGGGAGCAGTCCTCGAAGAGATCCCGCCCCAAGGGTTTGAGATTTCAGAGTGACTCCAAGGTGCTACTTCTTGGTTCTGGCCTGAGGTAAGAGGAAATCAGTGTCCTGCTATTAGGAAGGTGGTCCCCACTACAGCTGTGGGTCTATTTGGGAAAAAGCATTCAACTGAGAATGTTCTGAATCCTTTAATGAGCAGGCTACGGGCGCAGAGGTGGGGTTAGGAGGAAGAGGAATGATGTTGAGGTATCTGAGCCTGATGATAGCGGGAAGACATTGTCATTCCTGGGCATGTGGGTAAGGGAGGGAAATTTTGTTATAGGACTCCAGCAAGAGCTAGGACTATGAAGAAGGGGCTTCCCAGTTGCATGAGGGTAAACATTTAAACATTCACTCTCAGGAAAAAACAAAAAGCCCTGAGTTATAACATTTACAGATTTCTGGGGTATAAATACTCTCACATGATCATTTTCAAGCTACCTCACTGAATGCAGAGTTGGGAAAAGGTGCACATATCAGTTCCTGTTATTTAAAAGGAAGTGGCTCCGGCATACCCCTGGGGCTGCCGACAGTAGCTGAGACCATGGAGGAGTAGTTACTACCATAACACAGTCCCAAATGAGGAGGAAGCAGGGAAAGAAATACTCCAACTGATCTTGCCTCCTGCCCTGTAATTTCTTGTGGATTGAACCCAGCCAGAAGCTAGGGAGCTCAGGTGCTAGATGTCAGTCTCCCAGGGTATAAATCATGGTAGACAAGGCAGACTGGATCAGAGAATAAGAAATACAGGGTCTACTTGAAAAGCAGAACCCTTTCTAGAGCAGCTACTGGTTGTTTTTAGAATGGTGGTTCTCTAGCGACTGTATGGAAAAATAATCTGGGGAACATGCTTAAAATGCACGTAGATTTTTACATCCCCCAGAAGTTATCACTTTTGCTGCTGGAGTATCTAAGGATCTGCATTTTAAACAAGCCTCCCTAGGGCTTCTAATGCAAATGATCCCTGAACCACATGTTGAGAAACCTGGTGACTCAGAGGAAATGAGGGTGACAATGTGTCTGCCTCCAGGGTTAATTTTTCAAAAAGTAATTTTAGAATAGCTATTATTATACCACCTGTAGCATGAGAAATATGGACTGTTTCATGAATTTTCATGTTGTCTTTGTGCAGGGTATGCTAATCTCTGTATTATTCCAATTTTAGGGTATGTCCTGCCAAAGTGAGCACTCAGCTTATTTCTGTCAAACTAGTTGATCTCTGCTGGTTGATATGCTCTCCATATGCTGTCCAAGGAAAATAACATGTCTTGCAACTATGAGGGGTCTTCAAAAAGTATGTAGAAAACGAAATTTTAAAAAGTTTATGTTGATGCAAAAGATTTTAAATCTAGATATAACTTTTTCATAATACACATTTTCCATAAACTTTCTGAAGATCTCTTCAGATAATAAATAGGTTGAATAGGGGTCTGCACTGTGGCGCAGTGGGTTAACGCCCTGGCATGAAGCGCCGGCATCCCATATGGGCACCAGTTCAAGACCCGGCAGCTCCACTTCCCATCAAGCTCTCTGCTATGGCCTGGGAAAGCAGTAGAAGATGGCCCAAGTCCTTGGGCCCCTGCACCCATGTAGGAGACCCAGAAGAAGCTCCTGGCTTCTGGCTTCAGATCGGTGCGGCTCCGGCCATTGCGGCCAATTGGGGAGTGAGCCATCGGATGGAAGACCTCTCTCTCTCTCCCTTTGCCTCTCCTCTCTCTGTGTGTATCTGACTTTCAAATAAAATAAATAAATCTTAAAAAAAAGATATAGTTTGAATAGACAAAGCAAATGAATAATGGTTCAGAAGAAGAGAGCTGTGGGTTATTTTTATTATATGACTATTTTATTCTAATATATTCAGTGTAAAAATAATATGTAGCAATATATTTTAAATTATACTAATTTATTATTAATATGATCTGTGCCTTCGCTATGTCTTGACTTCACTAGTCTGATGGTATAAACTAAGCCAAGCTAATTAACTTAGTTCTCCTTGTTTTGTATCAATAATTGCCTATACTTGAAATATGGTGGCAATTAGAGAATATAAATCTTGGCTGATCTGCTTGTTATCTCATTTGCTTCCTTAGAACATACTGTGCTGGCTGTACGAGTATAGGATGTTTTCCATACCATTTAAAGAGACTTACATATTGCCAGGATTTTCATTTCTTGGAGAGTGAAAAGAGCACAACTTTGGAATCAGATAGATATGGGTTCAAATCTGCCACCTATTGTGACATTGGGAAATTATTTATCACCAGACTGGCCTGACTACAAGGAATGCAAATAGTACGTTGTTTGTAGTATGTTATGGTGTAGTAAGGACGAAAGGATATATGCGAAGTACCTAACACTGGGCTTAACAATCAGTTGGTGCTCAATAACTGTTCATTCCCAATTCTCTAGCTTTACCTGTTTAGCAGCAAACAGCTTGCCCTGGTATTTATTAATCACTGTGTAGCCACCCGGCACTTGGCGATCTTCATACCATGCAACAGGAATCAAGAAATCACGAGGATTGGCTAAGCCATTAGCTCCTAGAAGATGATAACACAAAACTCAATCAGACACTTCCGAAATCCCATAGGAATGATACCCACGGCTACAGAAAGAGTAGGGCTTTCTTTTACGTCAAGAGCCATGCCACAAATTTCTTTCATTGCTCAGACTCCCTGGATTCCTAGTCTGGTATATTTTCAGGAGGATCCAAGGGATTTGGTTGGAGAAAAATTCACAGAAATCATCATTATCACCAGCTTCACTTCCTACAGGTGCAGAGTGACTGTGGTTAACAAAACCATTTTATACACATTATCTTAGAGGTGAGGGAATGGGAGGAGAGGAAAAGCCTAGAAAAGAGGAAGAGGGAAGATCGGACAGAATTCTAGATCTCTTTGTTCCAGGGAACTCTGATGACTCCAGAGCTCATCTTCTGTCCTTGGTCTCAGTTAGGAAGGGCTACATACGGTTGTCCCAGGCCTGCCTCTGCTCCTTAGACAGAACTCGGAATTCAAGCATGTAAAACTGCTCCCTGGCCTGGGAACTCTGCCACTCAGAGAGAAAGGACTCAGGACTTTCCTGCTTACCTTTGCTTAGTGGGGAAGTGTTCCCTTTAGAAAAAGCAAATAAATCAAAAGGCCAAAAATGAAAAGCGTAAGTGCAAAAACATAATTTAACTCTGAAAGGAGAGACCTGGGGAGTGTTTTATCATTTCCAGCTCCTGGGGTTAAAAAAAAATAAGCCCCCAGCTGGTTAGTAAATTATATATATTTTCCAGAGGGCACATGTTCCATGGAACCTGGTGGCTATGCTGACTGTACAGCAGCAGGAAGCCAGACCAAAGTGAGAAGAGTGGGTGGTGAGCAGGATGCCAGACGGCCCACCACGGCTCCAGCTGCCTCTCTGCTGCCTCCCACCTTCCTCTGAATATTTGCATCCCCAGGGGAGTGACCAGAAGGCACACGCTGGCCTGTCCTTGTTTTGCTCTAAAAGCTGTTGACAAGGGAGGCAGAACTGGGAAGTGTGGCCAAAGATGAAACCATGGGCCAATTTTCCCAGCTACTCCATTCAGCCCAAGACACCTTTGGAGGACAACCTGCACTTTACCTTCTGTATCACCTGCCTCCAGTGTGCCAGAGAAAGGGGTTGAAGGGACTTCTGTGCAGTTTTGAGAGAGTTAACCCATCTCATGGGAGCTTTGGTTTCCACTCCTTCATGACACTGAGTGATGGACCATTAATTTCTTTTTCTTTTAAGTTTATATGAAAGGCAAAGAGGGAGAGATAGAGAGAGAGAGACAGCTAGGTCTCCCATCCACTGGTTCATTCCTTAAATGCCTGCAATGTCTGGAAGACTAAAGTCAAGAGCCAGAACTCAATCCAGGTCTTCCATGTGGGTGGCAGGGATCCAATTACTTGATCCAATACCGCAGCCTCCTGGGGTCCACATTTGCCAAAAGATGGACTTCGGAGCCAGAGCTAGGACTTGAACCCAGGCACTTCGATGTGGGAAATTGTCCTAACTGGTGTCTTAACCACAAGGCCAAATACCTACCCCTGATTTACCTGTTTTTACTGTGAGGTGTGTAGATTTTGTGGTATGTGCTTGGTAAGAATGTGAGACTCATAGATCATGTGTCACTCAGTCTGTTCTCCCTTTCTGTAGAAATAGAGTCATGGCCATTTTTATGGCTTTCACATAGCCCACTAACTTAAGAGAACCATCTCCTTCTTATTCCCAAAGCTCATTCCCACTTGTCTGCTTTTGCTTAAGTGGTTCCCTTTCTTCTTTCCCTCTTCCCAAATTTTCATCAAGAAGTAGTCAAATTTCATTTTGTCTGTGAGGCTGGCAACACAAGCCACAGTAACTCAAATATCTGCATTCCTTGTAGTGTACACTCTATAATTAGAAGTTTATAATATGTTGTCTTTATCTTCAATGGTCTATATGCTATTCTTGGGAGAAATTTAGAATGTATGGGTCATTTTCTGTTATGCATATATTTAACGAAAAACACTTGGCCTAGAAAAGAAGTTGTCTAAAGAGGAAAGTTGAGGTTTGAGTGATGTGGTTAGGGGAGAAGAATGTCAGATTTTGTTTAATTAACTGTGTTGCATATCTCAAATGAGGCTTCGAGCCTCATAGTGGAGATTTACCAATGGGTCCCAGATCAGGCAACTCAAAGTGGACGCCGTAGACCTCCAGGACGTAGCCCCTGGTCTCCTCGAAGACATCTATGCTGAAGCGCATTCCTCTCTGGAATGGGAAGCAAACACTTGAGTGTCCTCCCAATTCACATCTGAGTAATAAGAAGCTATGCCAGAGCCACAGCCAGTCCCACAGGCAAAAGCAGAGCTACAGCTGTTGACCTACCTTTGAGGAGGTGATCAGATCAAAGACAAATTAGAAAGAAAACCTTAACCCCTAATAACATCAGTGACCCCAGCCAATTCTAGTCTAATTTCCCCTTGGTTCCAGAGATAATAGCCCCAAGTTATCCAACTTGTAAAATATCACCCTCACTGCCTCCTACCTACATCTATGGGAGCTGGGCTTTATCCGGAGTGCATACGAATGCTTCAGAATGTGAACTGATGATGCGCTTTGCTTTGTGATTTTTGTGCTATATTAAAACAAAGCAGGCACCCACGCCTGCTTACCCTTCTGCACACGGAGCATCCTCCATAACTCAAACTCCCTCCCATAGCCCAGAAATGACAGAGAAATTTTAGAATTGTAAATAGCAGATGAAACATCAGATTGCTCCCAAATTAGGGGGAGGCAGGGAGGAGAAGGAGACACATCACCAACCTGAATGACGCAGATCTCGTTGGGCTGCACAAGCATCTTGCCAAACTCAGTGTAAATGAGAAGCTTCCCTTTCTGAGGAACTGACAAAGAGAGACAGGGCAGTGATGAGTAACTCTTTTCAATTGAGAACATTTTATGAAGAATAAAAGGCATAAGGGTTACATCTCCTTTTTCATTCCAAATGAAAACAGCTTTATTGAGTCTCTTGGGGGAAAATATATATTGTGATGATTCAGGTGACCTATTCTGCTATCTATAAGAATGTGAATAAGAAAATGACCCCATCTTTTTTGGGTTGTCAGGAAAGAAACTTTTATATGCAAAATTTTGTGAACAGACCGAAAAGGGCACAATAAATAAGAGAGAGAGAGTTCCTGTGCGATGCCAGCATTGGCATATCAGGTGTCCACACCAAAATACTGACTCCAAAATCTGGACATGAAAATAGCCAAATAAGATGCGCAGATCAGATCAGAAAAACCTCTGTTAGACTTTATGTTTTATATGGGCCCATGAGAATTTTTATTTAAACTGCAGCTATCTATGACAGATGATCTTTTCTTGGGCAAAAGGAAAATTGAGTTTTTTTTTTTAAAGATTTATTTTATTTGAAAGACAGAGTTACAAAGAGAGGTAGAAACAGAGAGAGAGGTCTTCCATCCACTAGTGCATTCCCCAGATGGCTGCAACAGCCGGAGCTGAGCCCATCTGAAGCCAGGAGCCAGGAGCTTCTTCAGGGTCTCCCACGTGGGTGTAGGGGCCCAACAACTTAGGCCATCTTCTACTGCTATCCCAGCCATAGCAGGGAGCTGGATCAGAAGAGGAGCAATTGGGACTAGAACTGGTGCCCATATGGGATGCTGGCGCTTCAGGCCAGGGCGTTAACCCACTGTACCACAGCGCTGGCCCCGAGTTTTATATATATATATTTTTCCTTTTTTTAATATTTATTTATTTGGAGCCTGTGTTGTGGTGTAGTGGGTAAAGTCATGACCTGCAACATTGATATCCCATATGATTCAAGTCCTGGCTGCTTTACTTCTGATCCAGCTCTCTGCTAATGCACCTGGGAAAGCAGTAGAAGATGGACTAAGGGCTTGAGCCCCTGCCATCCACATGGGAGACTTGGGTGAAGCTCCTAGCTCCTAGCTTTGGCCTGGCCTAACCCTAATTGTTTTGGCCATTTAGGGAGTGAACTAGCAAACAGAAGATGGCTCTCTTTCTCTCTCCCTCTCTCTCTGTAACTCTGCCTTTCAAATAAATAAATAAACACATCTTTTAAAAAAATGTTTTCAGCCAAGCTGAAGCCAGGAGCATCTGGATCTTCCATGTGGGTGGCAGGGTCCCAGACACCTCAGCCATCTCTGCTGCTTTTCCCAGGTCGTTAGCAGGGAGCTGGATGAGAAGTGGAGCAGCTGGGATATGCACTGGCACCCACACGGGATACCAGCTTTGCAGGTGGCAGATTTACCAGCTACGTCACAATGCTAGCCCCTAGAGTTATCTTAATACATTAATTGATGTTGGCATTATTCCTCATTTCTCTTCAACTTCTTGGATATCACACATCAGAAAGGCTCAGAAGAAACAAGCAAAGAAAGACTCAGAAATAGGACATTGATGTACAGTAGGACTCTTTCCCGGGCTACCAGTTGCCTCTAGACCTCCCTTTATGGATGGTACACATGAAATAGGACAGATTGTAGGAATGAAGGGAAAGAATATGTATAAAATTAAAAATCGGCTTGGGGCTAGGGATCAAGTACCCGTGAAGCAGTCTGAAATCCTCAGAACTCACCAATCAAGAAGTCCCCATCTGAATTGTAGAAGCATCTGAAACACGGAGAGTAAGTCCTGTGATGTTCAGTTTTAGCACCGTCTAGACAAATTACCTCCTTCCACACATTATCGTTTAGTGCCTATCCTATACCAGCCTCGGTGATGGATATAAAACATTGAGCAAAATGACCCAATCTCTGCCCTCAAAGGACCGTAAAGTCTGGTAAGGAGTCAGACAGTGATCAAATAATTACTGCACCATACCACTACAAACAGCAATGGGACTCTGAAAATCAAGTGCAGGGGGAAAGAAACAACAAGGACTTGAGCCAGTCTGGGGAGGCAGCAAAGGCTTCCTTGCAGAAGGGCACATCAGACCTGAGATCTGAGGAGGGAGTCTGGGGAGGTGGGAGGACATTACAGCAGAAAGGACAGCAGAGGCCAAGACTCTGGGGCAGGAGGCACATGGCAAAGTAAAAGAAGAGAATGAAGGCTGCAGGCTTGATCAGAGAGCGAGGGGGCCTGAGATGAGGTTGAACCCAAAGGGAGGTCTCCAGTGCCCAGTCACAGGGCTGTGATCTTGGCCCTGATTCATGGGTCAGAGAAGTTAAGCAGTTTGCAGAAAACTGCTCAGCTAGCAAGAGCAGGATGGGGCTTTGGACATAATGCTTTGGTTCATGAGGTAGTGTGCAAAACCACTACAATACTCTGCTTCCCACGGGAAAGGTAGGAATGCCACTTCCAAGTTTCAAAAAATTATTACTGAAGTATGGTATATAAGCTTGTCTATTCTGGAACTCTGAACTTACGCAAAACTATTAGCTGAAGCTAAAGTCCCTCATCTTCACTTGCCACCAACAAGTGGCTCCAATGGCTGCTCATGCAGTGTGGTTTTGGCTCAGGAATAGCCCTGGAGAACCTTAGAGGGTAAGGGTATCCTGGCCTCAACCTGCTTAAAGTCAAAATGCCTCAAACTACACCTGTATTCCAGGGTCCTTTTCTCCCTTTTCTGTTTGCACTCTTATGTGACGTAGTTTATGTCCTGAGGGTCACTTTAGTATCACTAGTAATAAATATTTATCAAAATTGCTCTGAGGAACAAAAAGCTCTACAAAAACCACAATAGATGTGCATCTGTGACTTTATGAGCACAGCCTGGCCTTTAGCCTCTGCCAGTAGTGATGGGGAATGAGGATGTCCTGCCCCAGCCTGAGCCGCTCACCTGTTCTCCATGGAGGTGTTGCAAAGGAAAATGTGGATAGCAAGCCCATTGTTTGACCTGATGTCTCCAGCTCCACACAAGGTGTGCAGGCCCTGGGAGAGACACAAGGGAGAGGGGACGGTGAGTCTGAATGGTGCCCAAGAGGCCCATCTGTGGTTCTCTGAGAGCTGTGAAGCAAGGTTCTACCAGGGTCTTCTCTTTGGGACCAGTGTGACATTTGGGATCCAGTATGCTTTTGGGGAGCCTGAAGTTGACCAACTTATGTTTGGTGGGCTGTGGCTCACTTTAATTGACAGCCATGGCCTAAATCTGGATTGTCTTCATGGCTCTATCAGATGAATTTACAGAACATCAATTCATTACTTGACATCTGAAGAGTCTGATTCTTTTTTTTTTTTCTTTCTCTTTTTTCTTGAGTCTGATTCTTCTTCTTTTTTTTTTTTTTGACAGGCAGAGTTAGACAGTGAGAGAGAGAGACAGAAAGGTCTTCCTTCCGTTAGTTCACCCCCCAAATGGCCGCTAAAGCCAACGCACTGCCCGATCCGAAGCCAGGAGCCAGGTGCCTCCTCCTGGTCTCCCATGCAGGTGCAGGGCCCAAGCACTTGGCCCTTCCTGAGCCACAGCAGAGAGCTGGACTGGAAAAGGAGCAATCAGGACAGAATCCAGCACCCCGACCTGGACTAGAACCTGGGGTGCTGGTGCCACAGGCAGAGGATTAGCCAAGTGAGCTGTGGCGCCAGCCAGAGTCTGATTCTTACTATCAACTTTTTGGATGCAGTATCAGGCATTTGGAGGCTTAAGGAAGAAGGTTGCAACATTGGGGACCAGTTAGAGCCCTCCAGGTATCTTGCACCATGTGAGAAGTCCTCTGCTTAAGAACAGAGTCAGGGGCCAGTGCTGTGGCATAGAAGGTAAAGCCACTGCCTGCAGTGCTGGCATCCCATATGGGCACCAGTTCGAGTCCTGGCTGCTCCACTTCCGATCTAGCTCTCTGCTATGGCCTGGGAAAGCAGTAGAAGATGGCCCAAGTGCTTGAGCCCCTACACCCACGTGGGAGACCCAGAGGAAGCTCTGGGCTCTTGGCTCTTGGCTTTGGATTGGCACAGCTCTGGCTGTTGTGGCCATTTGGGGAGAGAACCAACGGATGGAAGATCTCTCTCTGTCTTTTTGTCTTTCTGCCTCTGCCTCTCTGTAACTCTGCCTTTCAAATAAAGAAATCTTTGGAAAAAAAAAAAAAAAAAAGAACAGAGTCAGCCCAATCTCATCAGAACAGCGCAGAGGAACACACTCTGACCAACCGAAGCTCTCTCTGCCGCGTAAGCAGATCAGGCACAGTTCCAAGAGTTTTAACACACGGGCCTTTTCCAAACATCCGTCAGCCCCACTCCTGCTGATGCAGAGCCCAAAAGGAGGGGCAGGGCTCCTCCAGAGACCTGTTACTTGCAGGGTGAATTCTGTATTTTGTACTTTAACTCAATGTGCAAATTTAGGGTTTACTTGAGTGAGTCCACACAGGGTTTGGAGCACTGAATAAGGACAAAGACTTCAAGATGATCCAGACAATTAGGTCTGTGGCTGGGTACCTACACTGTCTCTAGGTCAGGTGTGAGGAGCGTTGGTCAACAGAGCCCTCCATTGGCCTCTTGAACTTCACTTCCTTAGAGCCCCCTTGTCCTCCCCAACATGCACTCTGCTCTGGGCACAGGTATTCCAGTGCACCTTGCACTTGTAAGCACCAAGCAACTTTGCTATTCACTAACTAGAGTTGCCACCCTTCTAACCCAGCATCCGTTTCAGGGGAGCCATGAACTTGCATGGGAAAAAATTATATATATCTATATATTTTCACTAATCTCTGATGGAATTTGTCATTTTCTTCCATTAATTTGAATGCAGGTAACACACCACAGCAGTATTAGAAGTGCCCATAACCTTGTCAATGATAGAAATCATGGATATTCTTATATCACGTTATAGTTGCTATAGATATCTCAAGATGCCATTTACGCTCATGTTTCTAATAGCCATGGTTTTGGATTTTCCCATGGATCTTATGATATATATAACTACAAACCAAGTTTGTTTTAAAATACTTTTATCATTGTTCATTAGTATAATTGGCTTTTTGATAATTTTATGTAATATTTTATGCATTTAAAAACAGACTTCACCAGACCTTCAAAGGGGTCCATCAAGCAAAAAAAAAAAAAAAGCCCCTGTTCTACAAAAAAGCAAAACAGCTTGAACTAGGAAGATGTTCAATTTCCACTGGCCTTTCTGAGATGCAAACAGTTCACAAGTGCCCTTTGCTGTCAAGGCCATCTGGTACCATAAGTGAGACATCCCTTGGCCAGACCCCAGGGCACGTGCCGGTGGCTTTGGCTCTGCTGCCTCCGATAAGGCTGCTTCCTGCATTCAGCCTGCAATTGGCTGGATCATGCACACTCCCTGCAGTCGAGCAGAGTGCGGTGGGAAGATGGGGAGGGTGCTGACTTACACTCACAAAGTCCATTTTCTTCTGAGATGCTTTTGGAATCTCAAATGGTTTCCATCTAAGCTGGAAAAAAATATGCACACAGGAAAATTATTTCACCAGGGAAAGCTTAGACCTTCTAAATAAATAGCAAGCACTGCACAGCGGAACAAGGCGGCTTCTCTCTGTGAGGCTCTGACTTCTTGAGATTTCATTGTTTTTAAATGAATGATGATCTATTATTTCCTTAAAGGGGTTCTGTTGGTAAAAGTGTGTGTGTGTGTGTGTGTGTGTGTGTGTGTGTTTAAACCTGTATGGCTATAAACTCTTTGTTCCTTAGCACTTTAAATTATAGAAAAAAAAAGGCTGGGGGTGGGGAGAGTCACTGCTTCCTGTTTTAGAAGCTATTTGTTTCTTTTAACATTTTGCTCAGGCACATCAGTGAGTTTTGACTGATGCTGCTTTTCCTGCTATTTATAATCAGCTCTGTTTCCTGGCATACCAGCCTCTTTGTGTGGGCTCCTGACACTGCAGGGGAAGGTTCTGCTTCTGCTTCCAGCTCTGGGAGTTTTGAGTTATTTCTTTAAGAGAAAGAAAAAGCACCCCACTGAGATCAGATTTGGTAAATGCTGTACTGGGTTAAGTTTCTTCACCAAGTCCCCAGGCTGCCTGACGGCTCACTTTAAATCACAAAAATCTTTAATTTAATAATGAAATGATCTAAGGAGGTGAGGAGAAAAACCAGCAGGTTCAGGCCCTGCTCGAAGTGTCAGCCCAGCCCTTATTAATCAAACTGGCAGCAGGCCTGACCCAGTCAGACTGGTGCCCGCAACTTCATCAGCCCCAGGCTTGTCTCAGGGAGTGACCCGCACTCGAGGGCTGGCTCCTTTGACTGTGGTGCTGGATCAAGTGGTCAGGTCAAGGGGCATGAGCTCATTCTGTATTTCAGAAAGGCGATCAGAAGGAAAGAGGAGCAGCCAGTGGAAAAGGTGGTGCTGTGACTATTCTGCCTCTCTTACATACACACAGGTGGCAGCCTTCGTTTCTTAAAAGCAAAGCAGGACAATGACCTTCTGAGTACTTAAACAGGGTGCAGAGTGTTGATTTGAAAAGCACTGTTGCACTCATGCTTCAGAAAGAGGACATGCTTTAGAATGAACTCCATTAGGAATGCTATCCCCTGGGAGGAAAAAAGGGAGGACCAGAGAGTGAGGATCCAGGAAAGTGTTTCTCAACTTCAGCACAATTGATATTTTGTGCAGGATAATTCTTTGTCTGCATGGCGAGATGTTTAGCACATGCCTGACTTCTGCCTACTAGATACCCAGAGCACTCCCCCAAGTCTTAACAATCAAAGGCATCTCCAGACCTTGTCCTTGGGGGAAAATTTCCCCTGGTTGTGAACCACTGGCCCCCGGGAGAGTATTTCTCAGACAACAGGAGGGGTCACAGCTGGGGTTTCATGGAGCAGGTTCTGGTTACTACCCCCACTATCTGCTGCTTGCCTCTATAGTAGCAGTGCAGTTTGTATATCCAGGAACACTGGAAGATATGACTACCTAGAATCTTACTTTTGAAGAGTCATCATTCTAGATTTTCTAGTGGAAGAGATTTAAGTATCATCAGATCCACGGTTGCCTGGGCAACTTTTTAACTCCATCCAAAGATTTTCAACCCTGGCTACCCATGAGAATCACCTGCAAAGCCTTTGAGACAAAGACCAAATTAAATCAGAAACTGTGAAGGTGGCTTCCAGGTTTCAGGATTTTGTAAAAATTCTTTCACTGTAAAGCTACGGTTCAAAAGGCAGCACTCCAAGTCTGAGATTCTGATTCCTGTATTGCTGAAGCAAGCATTATGGTCAGAAACGTCCACCCAGTCAACCAACCAACCAACCCACCAATCAGTCAGCTAAATTGTGACATCCTTGGCCAGATACGAAGTAGAAAGTACATATAAATTATACAAGTCTAAGAAGAGATAAAGAAAAAAAAGGAAAGAAAACAAAAGAGATAGAGGGGGGAAGAGAGAGAGAGATTCCAGTAGCAAGGAAATTATTGCCTGGTTCGTTATACTGGGACAACACCTTAGTCTACATACTTGAATTTAAACTACCTGGTTTTTGGCAGAAATAAAGTTCTGGCCCCCAGAGAAGAGGTTCTTCTTCTGTGAGTGGGAAAGATTGAACCAGAGAAGTTGATGAGTTGACCAGGCTGCTGGTCAAATTTGTAAGATCTTCTATAGCACATCAGTCCTCAAGGCAAAAAGAAAGAGTATTGGTGGTAGACAGAAAGGCAGCTATGATGATGCAGGGAGCATGCTTTCAATAGAGCCTGAATCCCGAGTGAAGCACTGGCCTTTAATGCAAAAGAAAAAAAATATTCCCTTAAAATGAGAGGGATGTTATAGGGAGAGCAGTAATATTCTGTTGGAGCTGATGGCATCAGATTATACAGAATGTATATTCAGATTGCATAAGGCCTATATCACAAAACCCCAAAGTTCTGATAACCCAGGACTCAGAAGAAGAAGCCAGCTTTGGGTCTTCAGGCAAGAGATTTAGATCAGGAGCCCTGAAGATGAGTAGGAAAAGTCCAGGGGATGCAGGGACTCCTACTCAAGCCAGATGCTCAGCTTACACATACGCTGTGGAGCAGTGACTCTGATCAAGGCCATATCAAGAGCGCAGTGTGGTGACTGAGCCAGACTTGATTTTTGCTACTAGCCTCTGTCCCTATTCACTCTGTGATCCCAGGCAAAGCATTTTCTCTCTTGGGACCATGCTTTCTTGTTACCTGTAACAATGAGTTGCTGTTGACAACCGTAATTCCATAATTCTTCAGGGAAGAGCTTATAAAGGAGCTAAAAGGTGCTTGTTAACTGATTTGGTACTTGCTACCAACTGAATTGTATCCTAGGTCCTAGTCATCTGTTAAAGCCCTAACCTCCAGTGTGACTGCATTTGGGGATGGGACCTTTAGGAGGTAATTAAGGTTACTGAGGTCATAAAACTGGAGCCAGTAGAATTGGTGTCTTACAAGAGGAGGATCCTGTCCCCCAAATGCACTTGTAGGCAAGGCCACATGAGGGTGCAGTGAGCAGGGGGCTCTCTGCAAACCAAAGGGAAAACCCCTTAGGAGATACCCACTCTACTGGCACCTTGAACTGGAGCTTCCAATCTCCAAAACTGTCCCCAAATATGGGTCAGTCCTTTACGTCACCCAGTCTTTCATATTTCGTTATGTCAGCCTGATCAAATTAATACAGTCCTACAATATACTATATAATGTTAAATAGGAGAACTCTCCTATTCAGAATTTAATTATTAAGCATTTCAAAAGCAGTGGCATCAATTATGACGCTCATTGCTATGTCTTGACTGTAGCAGGCACCAGTAAATATTTATTGGCTGATTCAGTGAAAGAATAAATATAAGGCTCTGAGAATATTGCTTATATGAATTTAAAAAAACAAGACTAAAGCAATTTTGTGAGATTTTTCAAAGTCAGAATGACATTCAGCAATAGCTCAAAAATTAAGCAATGTTTCTAAAAGTTCAAATATTATTTCCAGTATGTAAGTTGATTCTTCATATATGTGTAAGTTGATTCTTCATATATGTTGATTCTTCATATATGATGATTCATATATAGAATCGTCGCTTCTATATCCCCTCCAATTTTTTGGTACAGTTGTTCTATCAACTATTGAGAGAGGGGTGCTGAAGTCTCTGACTATAATTGTAGAGTTGTCTATTTATCCTCTATATTATTTTTTTACAGATTTATTTTATTTTATTTGAAAGAGTTATAGAGAGGTAGAGTCAGAGAGAGAGGTCTTCCATCTGCTAGTTCACACCCCAAATGACAACAACAGCTAGAGCTGAGCTGATCTGAAGCCAGGAGCCAGGAGCTTCTTCCGGGTCTCCCACGAACATGCAGGGGCCCAAGGACTTGGACCATCCTCTACTGCTTTCCCAGGCAATAGCAGAGAGCTTGATCGAAAGAGGAGCATCTGAGATTTAAACCAGTGCCCATATGGGATGCCAGCGCTGTAGGCTGGGGCTTTAACCCGCTGTGCCACAGCGCCAGCCCCTATCCTCTAAATTCTATCACTACTACACAGATTTTTGCAGCTGCAGTATTCAAACTACATTGTAAAATAAACTCACTTTCTAGAAATGAGGTGGTCAAAAATAATTTAAAAAGCATGTTCAAGAGCAGCCAAGATTATAATAAAAAATTCTTTAAGATTACCAAAAGAGGAACATAGATGATTGGCAACAACTTTTTTTTTCTTTTTTCTTTTTTTCCTTTTTGACAGGCAGAGTGGACAGTGAGAGAGAAAGACAGAGAGAAAGGTCTTCCTTTGCCTTTGGTTCACCCTCCAATGGCCGCTGCGGCTGGCGCACCGGGCTGATCCAAAGGCAGGAGCCAGGTGCTTCTCCTGGTCTCCCATGGGGTGCAGGGCCCAAGCACTTGGGCCATCCTCCACTGCACTCCCTATCCACAGCAGAGAGCTGGCCTGGAAGAGGGGCAACCGGGACAGAATCCAGAGCCCCGACCGGGACTAGAACCCAGTGTGCCGGCGCCGCAAGGCGGAGGATTAGCCTAGTGAGCTGCGGCGCCGGCTGGCAACAACTTTTAATGATTAAGATTTAAAATTCATGCTCAGAGAAAAGAAAATATCAGACAATTGGCCTTGGCACTTCCACAGTCAGAAGACCGGAGGGCTGGGCTGGATGCTCTGAGAATCCCTCTCATCACCGAGATACTCTGATTTACTGAGATTCCCTGCAACACTGCCATGGATACAACGAGATCAGATGATTTGGATGCTCTTAAGAACACTGGCTGGCTAGAGGGAGTCATATCATTAAAAGTCAGCGCCATCTATCCAAGATTCTTCAAATAACTCGTAGGTGAAATAATGATCATAATGTACACTTGGGCAACTGCTGGCAGCAGCTGTGATTGGGAGCAGTGCAACTAATTGGTGCCAGTGAGTTTCAGTCCCGGTATCAAAAGTAGGGGTGACGTCAATGGTGTCTCAGAATTCTTCAGCAAATCTAACAATCTGAGGAA